GGGTCCGGGTCCAGTACTCACACTATATTTTTTTATCCAAGTCCTGTGAATTCGGGTCTAGCTCCAAGTCCTGGCCCCATATCATTTTTCAGATCCAGGTTTGGGTCCGACCTGACCTAGACCCAACTGGACCCTTCGCCACCCCTAAGTGGGTGCCATCCTCAAAATTTAAAACCTCTTAGTACTTTTAGCCTGATGTTGCACGAGGCAACGAATGTACAATTTCCTCGTACAAAAGCATATGATATTTTTATATAGGAAAATTTACGTAAGGTTGCAATCTTATTTGTAGAAATAAAGAAGCAGTAATTCACCCCATATATTTTTATTTGGACGATATAGATTTGACACTATCTTAACAAGCATATCTCCTCTTGATATTGTCTCAAAGACATCAATACCATCCAACAAAGATAATAGACGGCGTAGAACATCAAACACATAAAATTTCCAGTATTTTACAAACCGCAACCTTTCATAAAAGAGATTTCCTCTCTCTTTAGGGATACTATTCTTGGTAGAATAATTGCTTTTTGTTGATGTATCAAAAGGTACCCAACCATCTAACTGGGAGTTTTCTTTCCCACAAATAACATGTAGGCAATGTTTGTAAAAGACCATTTGCCGTGGCGTGCAATTTTAATAAGTTACCCATGTTCTTCTTTTCATGCCTCAGAGTAACAAAGGAAGAGGTTTTTGGCAAATGTTAAACAAAGGGGTTGTGTATTATAAGACCATTCACTAAAGAAAGAGACCATTCACTTTTTTTGTACAGTGAGGCCGCGATTATTCTTAGCAATTGGATGTGACATATGACAAATTGAAGTATGTAACAAATATTCAAAAAAAAATTATTTTAGACTTTGTGCTTGATTGTATATCATAGGAAAAATTACTTTCTAAGCAACCTACTCTCAACAAAGTTTTTTTTTTTACAACTTTTACCTCAAATTGAACATTTCTAACAAATACTCACAAGTCAAAAAAATCATATTTTTTTGACGAAAATGCCAATAGTATCGGACCGCATATGCCCAAAGTGTCGGACCATCCCTATTTCATGTCAGACCACATGCTTTCTAAAAGCCCAAAGTGTCGGACCGCCTCCATTTTGTGCCAATTTAAAAACCCCATGTTATAAAACCAGCCAAATCAATTTTATATAAAAAATAAAAATTATGCAAGAAAATTACAAGGAAGCACACACCCAAGCAAGTTAGATGAGCATAGATTTTTACAAGGGAATCCATAAACCACAATATGTTATCCGTGTTCGGTTTATGGGGCCTTTAAAGGTTTTATGAGTATGTAATGCAAAACATTTACTATAATAGAACATAAACTCAGTAGGAGTGTGGTCCCTCGAAGACCATACTAAGCAAATGATATTTGCAGATACCGGACTGTGCTTGACTTTCTAAGCCAGTCGGTTGGAAAACTGAAGGTACCTAGGCATAAAAAATAAACTGAGAAATGTTTTTGAGTTAGCCCTTGATAAGGTCGGAGCTTTTGCCTAGATGAGTGAGCCGAGGGACTGTGTGACCCTTGCGTGTGATGGTAGGCCTACAGAGACGGGAGCCAAAACCGCATCCATGTTCCATCACACGGCATGTATATAGATAGATCGTTCGGGAAAGCTAGATATTCACATTTTGGTGAAGCATATGTATGTGAGAGAGATACCCCTATGCGCCATAGAGCTGTGGTCGCATCAGGTCATGGTGACCTTGACTTGTCTCTAGGGGAGGACCTGTAATCCACAGACTGGGATTTCTACTCCTTGGCTCATCGACCAGACTTTGGTGACCCACTAATGAGCCTCTGCTTAGACTGTGGGTCATGGGAAACACTGAGTCGGTTCGACAAAGCAAGTGTGGTCTGTAATCCACACTTGATGGTGGAGTACCTGTGATCGTTGATTGAATTCCTGAACTTCCCATTATATTAATTTAATTGTGTTGATTTTATTATTAAATTATTTTAGATTTATTTGAATTTTAATAAGTCATTTGATATTTTAATTTTTATTTTTAAACTTATAAAAATGAAGTTATTAATTTACAAAGTTATAATGTTTTAAAATTTATTTTGTTTAAATTTTAAAATAATTATTAAAAAAAATACATGGCTGCCCATAGTGCACATGGGCCCACCATGTGGGTATTAGATGGGGCCCCACGTACCATACATGGGTGGCACGCCCACCCTTGGAGACCTTCTCTTGTTGCGTTGTCTTCAAGTTTATTAAATATGGTAACTATATCTTGTAGCACATGGTCAAATATTGTTTAAGAAAATATTGACCATATTTTATCTTGATTATTGAAGCAATATCTTAACTTGATATTATTAAAATATTCTTATGAAAAATATGAGATGGAATATGCAATAAAGGGTGATAATAGTTCATGCACTTTTCATAATGTTGATGACCTATCTATGAAATGGATGACTCATATCTCTCACCCCACAAATCACATTGATCAACGGTCCATATTCAATCTCAAGAAAGAGGTAAACTATGGGAAACCCTAAAGAAACCCTAGATTTAAATTTCACTATAAATAGTGGTGTTCTCCCCCATCTAAACGCACCTTTCTTTCTTCCATAAACTCTCTCTTCCCTAAGGTCCACGCCCCTCTCTCTCTCTACTCTCAAATTTTCTCTCTCTACTCTCTCTCTCTCCTAAAAAGACCCTTCTCTCTCTACTCTCTCTCCCCTAAAAAGAAATTTTCTCTCTCTACTCTCTCTCCCCTAAAAAGACCCTAAGGGGCACGCCCCACTATAGAGACTCTCTCTCTCATGATCTAATCTAAGGGTTGGAAAAATTAGGGTTTGAATCTAATTATTTTGAAGTTAGGGTTTTGTAGAGATTTAAGGGTGGTTACCTAGTTTGACCGAAATTAGTTTTTTCGATTCGAGATTGAAGCTAGACCGCTGATCCCGTGCCATTGGATGTGGTGATGACTCGGTGTGGGGTGTAAAAAGCCCGGTTGAAGTAATCTCCGACATCTTTTCTTTTAATTGTTTGTTCTTTTATTTTATATTCTCAAGCACAATATTAGGTTGTATGAAGGGCATCAAGTAGTTGAGATTTATTTTATTGATGTGTTATTTACTTTTGGAATTTCTATTGTTTGTAATAAGACCATCTATGAGTGATCTTGCCCTTAAAATTATAAGGGGCGATTATTTTTTAAAAAAAACTTATATTTCCTCGACGATTACATATGTCTTTCTTTCGATCCGATCCTCCCAGAGAACATTTGAATGTCCCTGTTCGAGCCCACTTCATTTAATCTTCAATGTCCATAAGCAGGAAGCCTGAAACAGAAGGCGGATAGCCTTTGGAATCCTATATACCAAATTCATTTGAAGAATGTACTGGACAAATGGAAAATATCTACGAGAATGGGGTTCGGTCATGGAGGTAGAACTACTTGATCTAAGGTTTCATTATCATCTAACGCCTTTAAAAACCACTAATGAATTAGAAAACGGGTAGGAACTCGTCATTTCCAATGAATTACGCAAAAAAAAAAAAGATATCCTCCGGGTAAATGTATTAAGATATTCATTTGGGCATGGATTGATGGACAGATGGTGGGCACCTTTTGGCAACAGCGGAAATTGCCCTCCGACGAAAATTGTAATTACCCTTTTAAAGCGGGGAATAGTATTTGGGGGCGATTTTGGCCCCCCGAAACATTAGAGTATTTCTATTGTGCCCAAAAACTGGTTTTTTAGCTCAAAATTGATTATTATTTTTTAGCGTCGAATTCGAATTCAAAGTTCTTGATTTCTTACGAAACTGAAAAGCATCCAACCCGGAACTTTTTGGGGATTAAAGTGGATGTTAAGAGAGCTTTTGGCAATCGAAACTTATCCAAGCCTATTTCGATTGGTTTTCAAAAGGTTAGTAAATTTAATTTTCTATGTTTAGGATTTCATATTTTTTTTGAGTTTTTTGTTCTGCTTTTTTATCATTTTCTTGTGTTTATTTTTTAGGTTAGGCTCTACATTTACGATGAAACTTCATTTGTTTTTTATTTTTATTTTTTTTCTTTAGGGTTTGCTATATTATAGTATATATTCGGCTATGTTTGGCTAGGTTTCAAATCAATGATGCAATTTTGAAAAGTTATAATTAGCTACATTTGGTTTTGTTTCTAATTTACGATGCAAATTTGAAAATATTCTCTATGTTTGGCTATACTTTTAAGAACTGTTTGAACTTTGAGCTTTGAACTTTGAAGAAATGTTGGAATATGCTAACTTCATAGAAATATTAGAAATTCTAATTTATAACTTTTGAACTTTGAATAAATGTTTGAAATGCTAATAGATGTAAATTTTGACTTTCTATTTTGGCTTAAATAGCTAATGTCTCATTAATGTAAATTTATTTTTATTTCTTTTTATTGTGGCTTAAAAATGGCTAATGGATGTAAAACTTCGAGCAATTTCAAAGTTCTGGTCTTTTATACATATAAATCTTAGTTTTAAATGTAAATTTTTAACAAAGGTAAACAGGTTTGAAATTTGAAACCCCCGCCTTTCTGCACCACAGTGGCTGCCCAGGTCATTGGACAGCCACCCCCTTCTTCTCAAACATTGATGACGGGTGTAAATTTGACATTATCTTAAACGAAGTGCCACTGTTGACCCTTTTTTTTTTTCTGAAAAAGTGTCAAAATCTGCACTTCCCAACAAGAATAGATTGTGTAGAATCTAAGCTTGATACAAACTGTATATGTAAATATAGACATCACAAAATCATAAATGGAATCAAGAGCCAGCGAGGGAGCAAGAGCTAGGAGGCATATTCCCATAGGTCAACTTCAGTATTAGATTGCGTTGTTGAATTGCTCATGATAACTGAAAAAATACAAGAACTAGCCTTCATCCACATCAACAACGAAACAATACCACTACACAGCCAAGTTAATCAGAGTATTGTTCTTACGAGAAAGCGAAAGATTATAACTCTCAACAATGCCAATTAAGAGAGATGATTATTGCTAGTGTCATTTGTGCATGGATGAAAGCACTTTTAACATAAGCATGGTACAACACAGAATTCAAAACTGCAACCAGAAGACCTCATCCAACTCCAACATCAATAAAATTATCTTGTGTAAAGCAAGAGTGTATTTCAATAGCAATGACTGAAATTAGCAATTAAATACCATCAAAATTCCAGCAAGTACATTACAAGCAAAAAGGGAGAAATTCACCAACAACCAGTTCTGGGGCTAATAATATTAAGCACCTATGCGAAGTTCATAGGAAACTCTGAGCTTGTCAAGAAGATGGAGACAGGGTTACCAGGAGATGGAGGATTCTGTCTAAGCAGAGATACATGTGGCCCAGCTCTACTACAAGAAGCTTCATCAGAGGCAGATAGCACTTCCACATGATCTAGACCCAACTGTCTCTTAATCAATTCAGAGTTCTCATGAAGAACCTCAACTTCACGAAAAGGAAGCTCCAAATCAAGGGCTTGGATCCCAACAGTTTGAGCCTCACCCTTCTTATACCTCAAGAATGGCATGCAAAGCTTCTGGGTTTGCTTGAAATTCTCAATTTGCCCAACTGGGCTAGTCTTTAAAGCACTGAGAATCTCTTCATCAGGAGCAAAACTAAGGCTCACCTGATCAAACTTACTCTGAAGTATTCTCAAGCATTCCTCCTTCCATCCCTCATATCTTTCAGCCACATAAATTAACCCTATGGTTGGCTTCTCTTCATTGGAGATGGAGGGCCCGCCCTTTTTGGGTTTTTTCGAGCCCGAAACTTGTTTTTGAAGGAGCTTCCTCATTGAGGCAGTGGAATCTTGCAAATATTTGTTAGCACGTTTCAGAGTGAGATCAGGCGCACCAGCTTCTGGCCACCCTGCCTTCACCGCAAAGCCAACCTTCTTTAAGAGATCTTTCCACACATACTCACCATAGTGGGGGCAAATTGGTGTAATAAGCCTTGTTTGAACATCCATAAATCGCAAAATCAAGTCCCTGTTCATTCCCCCAACTCCACAAGAGAATCGATACTCATCTCTCGCAGCTTGGAGGTCATAAAAACCCGTCTTGAGAGCTTCCCTAAACATCAAAGCATCATAGCTTTGCTCAGCTGCCTGAATGGCGATGTTTATTTCATTAGCAAAGACTCTATCAGCATAAGTAGAAGGCGGTCCCTCTCTTAAGGCTGGTAGAGAAGCCAATACTTCTTCCATCCATGCTATCTCTTTAGTCAGGCGTAAAATAGCAGCATTCGCGGTTTCAAAGACAAAATTGGCATCGTCCATGCCATCTCCTGCATCAGCTAGAGAAAACCTAGTGGCATCAGTGGAGAATTCTTCAATGGCCTGACGCAAGGTTCTAAAGTTTCCAGTTGATTTTGACATCTTCTCGGAGTTAAGCATGATCATGCCATTGCACCTAAAGGCTCGAGGCCAATATTTCTTAGGCCACATGGCAGTGTGCACGTAGACTGAGAAGGTCAGATGGTTTTGAATAAGGTCTTTCCCCGAAACTCTAAGATCAAATGGATACCAGTACTCGAATTCTTGCCTCATCTTTTTGAGAAGATGGGGAGGGATATTGGTCTTTGGGTGCTTTTCTCCACCAAAAACGAAGTCCCAAACCTCATCAGTCATTTGGTCAGGCTTAATTAGAGAATGGTTCTTACCAAAAATGTCCCCATCTTGCAAGAAATGAGAGACAGTGTAAAAGGCCATGTAAATAGTTGAATCTGACAAGGATTCAACGATGAACTGTGGATCCCAAGGGATGTGGGTCCCAAGCCCAAAAGAGCGAGAGCAAGCCCATTGTTCAAGCCATCCCAAGGTGTGCTCGAAACCATGCCTAGTCTCATCAGAGTAGAGCTCCATGCTAGCCAAACACTCTTCAGCTTTCGCTTTCCACTCTTTCTCTCCATAAATGATATACCACTGATCAGTTAAGGCCACCACACACTCATCACCGGACCTTGACATAACCTTCTTCTCAGGCTCACTATACATAACTGCCTGGCCACTCTCCAAAACCTTGCTCTTTATCAGAGGCTTCACTTCCTGGACCTTTCTCCCCTTGAAGTCCCCAACAAGCATGGTCCCTTCTGTGAATCCCTTCAAATAAGTGAGCTTCTTTGCCTCAGCAAGCTTCTCTTTATCATTTTGGCTCTTTATTTTGAGGTCAGCGCATACTTTCTCTGCAGAAATGTCACCAAATTCCGGTATATTTATCACAGGCAACACTTCGAAAGGTAACACCCACTCATCCTTGACCCCATATTTGGACCTCAAAAGTGGCTTTGATTTCAGATCTTGAAGGGCCATATAATCATCTGGTGAATCACTAGGTACACTGGTTACCACCCCTGTGCCCTTATCAGTAAGAATTGTCAACATGGGCAGAGTGTATATAACTTTGTTTGAGCTGAGGGGGGACTTAAGGGGCAAACCAATTAAATCCTGGCCAGTTAGCTCAACTAAGCAAGTGGGCTTTTGGGGGACCCTAGAGAGATTCTGATAAGCAAGATTCAGAGCGGCTCTCTCGGTGACAATGAACACATCTGTTTCATTTATCTCGAAAGCCCCATATTTTCCTTCAGGCAAGACCCAGCAATTTGTTTGGGCATACATGGTTTCGGGCCTAAGAGTTGCAGCTGCCAAAAAGACGTTCTTCCCCTCTAAAACTTTCAATTTTCCAGTATATGGAGGGATCACCTCCATTTTTATCAAAGTATAATCTTGGGGTTGAACCCCCTCACCAGAGGCCCGATCATGGTCGGCACATGGCTGGCCATCTCTAGGAGAGAAGACAGTGTATCTCACATCTTTCACAATTTTCCCCATGTTTTTGAGCTTCCTCATTTGCCACTGAATAAACGAATCGTAATATGGGTTCATATCAGTGGTTATGAATGTTCGACGCCAGTCAGCTCCCAAGCCAAAGGATTTGAGATCTTCAATAGCGAGAGGGGGAAAGTAAGTGAGCCAGTGATATGGGTCCCTAAACTCTGCAATTTCACTGTCTGATAAACCGAAACTCCTCATGATCTCCCATTGATACTTCTCTCCACCACTTTTCGAAGTTGCCTTCGATTTCTTGCTCTTAAACTTATCAGGTGCCCCCAAATTCGCATCCCCCTCTCCTTGGGGCTCCTGTGCCTCAACCATGCTTTCTTTCTCTTCTTCAGGGCCAGGAAATACAGGTGGATTCCCAAACTGTTCGATCTCCCGATTGAGCTTATCAGCAGAAGCCTTAATGGGCATCCCAGTACAGTGAAAAGCAAATGGGAGAAGAACATTCCGACCCCTCAGTCGATGATAAGCACTTGCGAATTCGAGTTTAGACAGAGAAAACGCATGGCCCAAGTGAAGGTAACCATTCATGTAAGGGTAAGGGAAGTTACCATAGAATCTCTCTCCTGGTTCAGGGGGTTTTTCATACGATTCAGCAGCAAAAACTTTACTTTCTTCCCATCTCTTTTGGACCTCAGCTTGTATCTTTAGGAGTTGGTCTCTTCTTGCAAAGCTTCTTCCAGTCTCTGCGCCAGCAGTGGGGGCCATTTCCTTGCTGAAAAACCAGAGGAAAAAGTATGAGCTTTCTCTAACAGAACTACTCCATAGAAAGTGCATATGCAGGAACAGAGAAACAAAACGAAATGAAGCAAATAAAGGAGGTTTTCCTTGATGGTGAGAGAAAGAGAGAATTAAAAAAAATGGGGTTTTATCATGTGCGGAATGGATTAATCCAGACGCAGAGAAAACTTGGAGAGAAATAGAGAAATTAAGATTTGAGAGAGGACAAGATCTAACAGAGAAACGAGAGAGAGAGAGAGAGAGAGACAGTGAGTGAAATCTAGAGAGAGAGAGAGAGAGAGAGAGCATACCTGTAAGAACAAAAGCCCAATCGAGAAACAATGGTTGTCGAGAGAGGTGAACGCTTATTAAAGCGAGAGAGAATCGATGCCAGGTTTTACATTCCCGGGGGAGAAGATGGCTTTGCCCACAAGCGAACAGTTTCAGCGTTGTGGATTTCAACTTTGACTCTCTCTCTCTAAAACCTCTTCGGCCAGCGTTCTAGGTTTTAGGGTTTCAGGAGCCCGTAGGATTGAAAGGAAACAAGGACGTGATATTAATGAAAATGGTTTCAAAATAAGTAGAGCCTTTCCCACTTACTTCTCGAAAACCGCAATTCAAAGAGTTAGAAAAATTTTACATCGCCCGAACATTGTGATCGTTAAAAAGGCGTAAGGGTAGAATCAGATGCGGTCCCATTAATCTTCACCATTGGATGTGAAATGGGTTGGCTGCAATTATTCCATCGACCACTCAAGCTTCAAAATAAAATTTTTTGAACTTTGTAACACATCCAAACTATCAAATTTCACATTAGATTATTGTAAATAATTGTGACCATTTTATATTAAAAGTATACGATTTCATTATATACAATCCCTAAAATAATAGGATTTTAAGTGTTAAAAATAATGTATATTGTAACAATTTATCTAGACCATTCATTTTGCCTTAAAAGTAAACGTTCATAAATCCATAAGATTTGTATCTTTCTTTTTTTTAGTTTTGAATTTTATTACTAGCATTAGAAATTGATTTTAGAGCCATTAGGAAAATTTCCATTGTCGAAAATGCTTCATGGATAAAGATTCGAGCTGAGGTTTTATTTTGTTTTCATAAAACCTAAGCCTTATAGAAACCTCATCCTAAAAATAAAGCCCAAATTATTTATTTTCACTTAAAAATTTATTTATGTACTATTTTTTTTTTAGTTTCAAATTTCATTGTCGGTGTTGAAAATTGATTTAAAGCTATCATAAAAATTATAGTTGCCGAAAGTACTTTACCAATGAGAATTTGAGTGGAGGATTTAGTTTGGTTTTTATAAAGCCTAAGCCTTATGAAACCTCATCCTTTTGAAAATATCCCAATCACAAATTGATTTTTGACAAAAGGAAAATTGTTTCATGTGGAACAACATTTCTACAATATGCGATCCACATGTATATAGCATACATCTTAAAATGGATATAACTAGGCCGTCTATCTAAAAACAAGTGTAACTAACCGTCCAAATGTTTTCTTAATATAATTAGTATTTTTAATTTTCGAAAAAAAATACATGTTTCATATTCATGATCTCCATATTAAAAATTATATATTATCCAAAAATTAGGATCAAATTATATTTAAAAAATATATTTATCGCTAAGCTTACATTTATACAATATGCGGGTTGGCGGCATAGAAACCGTGTCCTTTTCAAAATCTACTTTTTTCACATTTTTTGGATTTTTTTAATTATTTGCAAATTTTTTTTTTGGCTTGAACAATACTCGGCTCAATTCAGGCTGGGTTCACTCGGGCTGAGTACTAGAGGCCCCGGCATGAGTCGTTCAATGGAAATTATGGGAGAATTCAAAGTCCAATTTTTTTTTAAAAAAAAAATAGACTCCAACGATTTTAAGTTGATTCCCAAAATTTTATAGAAAAATCTCTCTCAAATAGGCCTTGCTCCTTGTGGAGTATATATGCAGTATGCTCCTACAAGAGCATATCCTACATGCTGGTTTCCAGGAAAAAAAAAAGAAGAGCTGCCATCCAGCGCCTATTGCATGTCTGCAAAGCCATCAAACAATTTCAGCTTCCAAGAAACTGGAACTCCATGCTCGAATTCGGACTGAAATTCGACGAAATTTCGGTCTCACCTGAAATTGGGTCCAAATCCGGGCCGAAATGCACTGAAATTTTGAGGTCGATATCTGCTCACCTGTATTTATAAGACCAGGCCCTTTGAATCACTTCCTTAGAGAGAGAGGACATGGCGAATTTCACCATTGTTAGCATGGTTTTATTCTTTCTCTCTCTAGGTTTTAAGGACGTATCTGCCAGAGGAGATGAGCAAAGCCTCACTATTAGAGGTCAGTCATTTGTTTATCGAGATATGATCCCTTCCTTTTTGCCTCTGATAATTAGAAATTGTATTTGTTATAGTTCGTTGTCTGTTTCTCTCTCTAGAAATTCTTTCTTTGATTGCATAGCTCGGGAATCTAGAGAAGATTTTAGTATTAATCTATAAATTTTCAGAACAGAGAGGAAAATAATACTTGTGCCATTTTTGAAATGGGTGGATTTGTGATTTCACTCTGATGAGCATCTGTAAATACTATGATTACCCTCAAATTTAAGATTTCAGCCTTCTTTGATTCCTCAATGCTGTGATCTCGATTGCCAGTTGCATTTACCATTAATTTCCCAGTGTTGGTTTGTCATTTTTTGTATTTCAATTTTGAAATTTGTAGGTTTTGCAGATGGTGAAACTGGATTTTGGTCTCGGAATTTGCTCCTTAGTGAGGATAATCGGTTTCGAGAACTGTATCCATGTGAAATTTTCACCCCTTTGAAGATTCAATTTTTTTTTTTTATACCTTACCTTTGTGAGTTGAAATGATTTTATTGCACTCCTGTGTATTTGGATCCTGAGTTGGTAATTGTAAAATGAGAGAGAGAGAGAGAGAGAGAGAGAGAGAGAGAGAGAGAGAGAGAGAGTAGGTACGGTTACGTACGTACGTAGTAGTAGTAGTAGTAGTAGTACGTACGTACGTCGTCGTACGTACGTACGTACGTACGTACGTACGTAACGTAACGTAAACGTAAACGTAAAGTAAAGTAAAGTAAGTAACGTAGTACGTAACGTAACG